AAATGCCTGCTAGTGTTGACTAAACAAAAATTGATTCAAATTTCTTAGAAACCGACCGGTCTTATATATTGTCAAATCAAAAATCAGACATTAAACATAACTTGAGAATGAAATGGTAAAGACAAGCTTTTCAAAGTTTCTCTGTGCCTAGTTCAGAAGCAAGAAAAATATTGATTTCCCCATTCGACATAACTTTCAAATACGTACCAAAAAAGCTTTTGTGTCTTACTAGTTAAGTTCTCTACATATGCAAAAGAGTAAAAGAAATCAAATCAAAAAATATCTGATTTAGTTTGTGACATTGTTGCTGTGTTTTGTTTCCATGAGATTCTCTTGAAAAGTTTCAGATGAAATGGTTCAAGTAAAAGCTTCTTGTTTGATCTTCTATCCTCTGGTTTTCCAATCTCTAATCGTTACCAAACTCTTCTCCACTTTCGCCATACGTGCCTCTAGCTTCAGTGCTATCTTCTCTATTGCAATCTTTCTCTGTTTCAATCTTTCATCAGTCTCTTCTTCTTCCTTCTTAACTTCACTACACAACTTCTCTTCCTGATTTTCTCCATTTTCATGGATCAAGCATTCTTCTTCTTTGGTTCTGTCATCGATCATAGTCTTCTCCTCTGTGTAACTTCCATTAACATCACAGTTTTGTCTTGTCTCTTGTGGAGACACAGCAGTTTCAACTATTTCTCCATGGGAAGCAACAAGAGAAAGATCTGAAGAGTTGTTTTCATCAGATGGGAATAGAACAGTCTCATCATCATTCTCTTCATTCCTTTGCTCTATGTTGTGTAGTTCTACAGTCTCATCTTCAGAAGCAATCTTTTGACAACGGCTTGAATCATCTCTCTGCTTTTCTCTATTTCCACAAAGCAGACACACTTCTTCTTTGGTGCCATCATCGATCATAGTCTTCGTCTCTGCATTACTTCCATTTACATCAGCCTCACCATCACAGTTTTGCCTTGTCTCTGGTGGTGACACAACAATTTCAGGGATCCTTTCATTGGTGCAAGCAACAAGAGGCGGATCTGAAGAGTTGATTTCATTAGATAGAACCAAAACCATAGTGTTCTCTACTTTGCTTGCAGTTTCTTCTTCCTTCTCTTCACTTCTTTGCTCTATTTCTTGATTTGCTACAGTTTCATCTTCAGAAGCAAACTTGTCACAAAGACCTGAATCATCTCTCTGCTTTTCTCCATTTTTTTCAATAGAACCAATAGGAGGCTCTGAAGAGTTGTTTTCATCAGGCGGGATCACGATCGCAATCTTCTCTGCTTCGCTTCTTGTTTCGTCTTCTTCATCAGTCACTTCAACCTTGGCTCTATTTCTTGCGGTACTACAGTCTCATCTTTGGAAGCAGGTGGCTTTTGAATAAGGCCTGAATCACTCTTACCCTCCGCATATCTACTTCTTTTCCCAAGTGATTCAGAAGCATCTCCTCCAGTTTTTTTTTTCTATATATGATCATCTCAGCAACTATAGTGTTATAATCATCACAATCCATAGAACT